AGAAAGCGCAGCGAGCACATGCACAAAGGGTAAAGGAGTTTGAGACTGAGCTAAGCAATGTGAAAACGGAGAGGCAGGCACAAGGAGAGAGATTCAGGAGATTCAAATTGGAGCATGAGGGGGAAAAAGGCATGCACTTGGAGAGGGTGAAGCAGCTTGAGAATGAGAACAGCAAGCTCGTGACCGAACGGGTGGCACTCAAAGAGAGATTAGCAAAATCAAAGGCCGAGGTTGCAAATTTGGAATGCAGGTTGGAGATGGAAAGAGGTGCAGCGGAGGGATTGAAAACTATGAGGGCGGAGAAGAGGACGCTTGAAGAGGGATTTGAGAAAGAGAGGCGAGCACATGCACAAAGGGTAAAGGAGTTTGAGACTGAGCTTTGCAATGTAAGGAGGGAGAGGCAGACATTAGGAGAGAGATTGGAGAGATTTCAAACGGCAAAAGGACTGCACTCAGAAAGAGTCAAGCAGTTTGAGGACAAAACAGCAAATCTGTTGGCCGAAAGGGACGTGCTCAGAGAGAGATGGGAGAAATCGAGCACAAGGGTTCAAGAACTGGAAAGCAGATTTGAGCCGGAAGGAGGTGCAGGCGAGAGATTGGAAAGGTCTGATGGAGTGYGAAAAGGGGTTYCAAGACTGGACAGTCATTTATTCAGAGGGTTTTCCCTGGACGAACTGAAGACGGCCACACATTACTTCCATGATGATTGCAAACTTCAAGAGCAACATAACGGATGTATTTACATGGGAAACATCACACCCGTTATGATAAAGAAACTCAAGTTTGGCAATGCCATGACACAGAATCAGCAATGTCAATTGATGAGGGAGCTTGTGGACCTGCTGAAGTCTCTGCAACACCCGCACCTGCAGACCTTKCTTGGAGTGTGCTACGTAGGAAATTGTCTTGTGTACGAACACATGGCCAACGGAAATGTGAAGGACCTGATCTCCTTGGCTGAAAGGTCACAAATTGGCTTCCTCCCRTGGTACATTCGACTGCGAATAATTGCCGAAGTAGCTCGAGCCTTGTCATTTCTGCACTCCAACCAGTCACTGAGAGGTGGTCCCATCGTGCACCGCACCATCAAGCCGGAAAACATTTTTCTGGATAGTAACTTTGTTGCCAAAATCACAGAGGTGGACATGGCCTTGCTTGCCCCACTGGTTACTGAAGATGGTGAAACACACCCAGTAACTGATGCGAAGTACCTGGCCCCAGAGTTTTCTCATACTGAGGTCTTCACTCAGCAGACGGACGTTTACGCATTTGGAATCACCATCCTTGAGATCCTCGCGGGGAAGTTCAGGAATGCGTTGGGAATCATGGAGGACGCAGTGGAAGATGTGGAAGCCTTCAGAAGGGCCCTGGACCCAAACGCAGGAAGTTGGGATGTTGATCTGGCCTTGGAAGCTGCACAGGTGGGGTTGAGGTGTGCAAGCTCGAGACGCAACAGGCCGAACATGACAACAGGTGAAGGTGCCGTYCTCCCTGTGCTGGAAGGTATTGCTCATAAAGTGGAACTGGCTGACTCGATTGAAGACATATGAGGGATGACKGTAGAGCCACTACGCCRAAGTTTTGAGGATGKCGTCGTCTCAGACGCTTAATATAAAGTGTGCCCAGTCTTTATGGATGGATAATTTGGAGTCGTACTCTGACAGGTCTCTTAAAGTGGGAGCTCTGCTTGGACTCGTCATTATACAATGTGTTGATGTTAACGGCCCTTACAGTCACTCCCWCACTGTCTACCAAATCRCTCACTCACTCACTCATCCTCGCACTCCCTCTATCACTCCCTCCACTCTCATCCATATGACTCACTGATTTAGCAAATTGATGAATATTCTTTAAGATAGCAGATAAGCATTCTTTGAGATGGCAGAGATTAAAAGTCTGTCAGTTTGTAAGGAGGAGGCCAGTCTATATATTTTTAAGATAGCAGAGAATAAAAGCCTGTAAGGAGGAGGCCAGTCTAAATATTTTCTTGTTTTCTCTTACTGCATGGGGTTTTCCAGTGGCTCATGAAGCGGATAGACTCCAAGTTGGTCATGACGGATGACTCACGTTGATTTGAACATAATTAAATTGAGGACTATTATTCAGTCAAACTTTTTCAATCTTTTCTTCAAGCTCTATACGCTTCTAACAGGAGTCATTTGTTGTCAATTGGCCATATATTGTCTGGAAGTTGCTTTTGCCCTCTTGATTGTTTTTAACTTTGCACACGGTGTGTTGTGTGCATTGCGCAAGAGTGAAAACTCCTGTGTGCCATCCTGGAAGAATGTTGCAGGCTTCAGCAGCTTTGCTCGCACTGCTAAGTGAGAGTCAGACATGTTTTGGAGATGTTGTCGGCCTTGTCTTCTCCTATTGCAGCATTGCTAACAAGACTTGCCATGAGGAGTGAGAACAAATTTCAGTTGTGTTTTTCAGGCAAACCTGTGATGACTCTGCTTCCTTAAAGGCCACTCCGCGTTGGAGTGGGTTTGGTGCAATCACAATGGGTGGGTCATCAGTGTTGAGTCACTGAATGTTAAAACTTAAAAGTATACCGGTTTTGGATGGTTGTTGAGAAGCAGGTATTGATTGATTTTCATATACTCTCTCTCTAATTGGAACTGCTATATGTATAGATAGAATTTGGGTGCTGTATGAGGTTACAGATGGGTGACATCCGCTGTCTTCGAGCCAAAGACAAAAGGATACATATATATATATATATATATATATATATGTATATATATATATATATGTATATGGAC